ACAAGGAAGGCTCAAGGCAAATTGATTTATTTAAACTGAAATATAAGCCTGGGTGTTTAGGATGAGACGCAGGCCTTCTGTAAGTTACCTAAAGGATAATATCAACTAGAATATTCTGATTGGGGAAAAAAATTGGGGGTTTTTTTGCCCTTTTTTTTTATTATTAAGAAGTAGGGCTTTTTTTTCTGCAAGGATTTCATCCTAGCCTGTCATGTACAATTTCATGTGCTCTTTTACTAGGCAAAGCTGCTGTTTCATTAGGGTGTTTAAGGACCACAGCTTCTGACACATTAGGGAATTTAAAACTCTGTACTGTAAAGGGATCCTAGACTGAGGATCCTCTCAGGCTTTCCAGAAATTTCAGGTAGCTTTTCTCAAAGTTGAACAGACTACAACAGAGCCCATCCACAAAGAGTTGGACTAGTATTCAGTGCTCCTTTCACCATAGCTTTATATGTCCAAAGATGAAGGCAGCAGAGCTATGAGAAGACCATTTGTATGGCTTCCAAAAACATGAGCAATTTCTGGTGTACTGAGAGTGAAAACAAAAATACACTTGATTTGTATCTATCTGCCTGGCTTGATAGTCTCATTTATAAAAGAGAAAAATGCAATCAATTAGTGCAATTCTTTTGTTTCAGCTGATTCCCAGGGGCTCAGTGCTGAAAACTGAATGAAAAACAATGGGTTATATTTTCTTCCAGGTCTGATTTAATAAGAAAATTTACTGGTGTGGTGATTAGATGAATCATTCCCCCAGGGTCACACAACAGAGAATTGATGAGTGATGCATTCAAAGGTCTATAACCAAAACAAAATTTCTTTTCACTGAACAAATTTAGTCCCATACCTCTGCCAGCACTGGTTTCAGAAGAAGAATATTCTTCCTATTTCAGCCAGTGCCTGTAAAATATCTAAGAAAAACATTTCAGCTATTTTTCAAAGTCACATCTTCAGCCAGAGCTGTTGGGGAAAATTTGCTTGCATCTCACTGCTCTCTTAGAACCAGGAACCCAGTGTCTAGGCAGAGAAAGATACCAACACAATATACCCCTGAAATAGCCTGGCATACCAAAACAGAAGCATGGACATTTTATGCAGCCTGAAGAACCTTTATTTATCTATCTCAACTGTTTAAAAGTACGCTTACATGAGTTAAAATCTTAACCCAAACTGGCTAATGTCAGGGTCAAAGGATCCCAAAGCTGAGAGATGCAGGCTACATTTGCTTTATAAAGAGAGACACATAACCTAGTACCAGTTTTTTCTAAGTGAGAGGCAAGCAGGAAGGTGGCATTCCCTCTTGCCCTTTTTCCATCAGTTAGGAGAAATTATACCCTGCATCAACACTACTTGTCCTGAGGCTGGACAAAATGCAGTAGCACATAGTGGTCACAGGCGAGTTGGGTGAGACTAACAACTGCCCAGCATCCAAGCAGGCAAAAATCCTGGGCTTTTTTGTTTGTTTCTTTTTTATTTTTATGTTTTTGTGGTGGTGGTGGTAGTATTAGCTCAGAACATTCCTGTAGAATTTATTTTAAAAGTGTGATCTGCTTCCATTTACTTACAAAGTTAATCTCCTTCATATCACTTGTATTGGAGCAGAAAAATAAAGTAATCCATTTCACTTAAATTTGCTTGCATCCTACCAGTTTTATTTCTATTTCTTATTTCAAGGTCCACACCAATTTCACCTATCACCTCCACCTACAGCCATGCAGGGCCACAGCAAGCAAAAGGTGTTGGGCATCAAACCCACCCATTTATTAAAACAAATACTAGGTATCTGTGTAAACTGATTTGAAATATAACCTCCAAGGAATTCTTACAAGTTGTTAACAGAAGTAACAGGACAGACAAGCACAAACTAATTACAAAGAAATCTCATAACAGCAGTTAGGATGTTCATCATTCATAGCCAAAACTTCTGATTCCATCAGTCATACCTTTGTTTATTCCACAAAATATGGTTTGTATCTATTTAATATTCTTTTTTTTGCCCCATAGCTATCAGCCACTTAATTTTCCATAGTCTGTATTCTTGCATTAATTTCATTGCTACGCGAAACCAATCACCACAGCAGTAGCACACAAAATTTTATGGTACTGCATCTTAGTAGGTGGCTTTGGAGAGCATGAAGGTAAGTACACCTATTGGTTTTAAGTGTTCTCTTACTGGATATCATGTTCTCATTCTAATATGAATGAAAAATAAATCTTGTATAGAAATTTACTTGTAAACCATTGCATCCCTCACCCAGCTGCTAGACCTATCATGCTCATAATCAGAAAATTCTAAAAGCTCATAAAATTTCTACATTCAGCTAAAATTAAAAGAAACTACAAACTCACACATAAACAGATACTTTCATGGCTCCTAGTCCTGCTTTCCCACACTCCAGGAGATCAGCTTGTATAAAACAATAATTGATAATCACTGCCATTTTCCTGGGTTTGAATAGATTTATCACTGGCATTGTCTCTTTCTCTCTTTCCTCAGGAAATCCTTTTCTTTACCCAAATCTAAACTCCCTGTTTCTGCAAGAGATTTTTTTTAATTAAAAAAAAAAACCAACAAAACCTTAGTCTAAACTCTAGCAGAAACCTCATGTTAAAACTCAAGGTACTCTAAATTGCAAGTGCAGACTGTACAGAATGGCAAGGGCTGAGGCTACACAGCCTGCTCAAGAAGGATGCCAGGGGCTTTCTACCCCATTCCAGCCCTCCACAAACCAAGGGGAAACCCTTCTCTCCTGGCCTCTTCCCTCATCAATGAAGAAATGAAGCAGCAATGGTAGAAAAGTTTGGACAAACCATTACTTCCTCCTTTGACAATTAGGGGGCTATGGAGAAAAAACCCAATTGTAACAGCTGCAGCCAGTTCCTCTTTCCCCTCACTCACCAACTGTGCTATTTCTAGGTATTAGGAGGGTTTAAAAGAAGTATTTTATAGCAAAACCCATGTTTATTCATTCTCAACTTGCTTTCATTTTAGTTCACTTGGGTTTTTGACTACAACTTAGTGATTCATGTGGGATGCCCATTTGAAATACATGTATGAGGAAAAAACAGATGACACACATTTGCTCCGGGAAGCCAGAAGGAGAGGAAGCAGCCTGCGCTGGTGGCTTCCCACAAGACCAGCATGAGCCAGGTGGGCTCATTCCTCCTTCCCTAAGTCAACAAGACTTCATGAGCATATGATACAATTCAGGGAATTACAGGAGATTACAGCTCAGATCTGACCCACTGCTTAGAAGCAAAGCGTGGTCAGAATTGGGAACACTCCTTACCCTGCACTAGTACTTATCTGCCCACGTGGAAATAAATAAAGCACCCACCTCCTCAGACCTATCAGCCTCTTACTTCCCATTGCACTCACCTGCCACTACACTAGGACACAAACAAAGTGCACTAGACAACCTACTAACCCTGTAACTGCCCTTTTATTGCCCTACTTCCTCCTGCAGGTGAGTGGGATGCCAGGAAACCCAAGGCAGCTGTGATAAATCAGGTACATGAAGAAGGGAGCTGTGAAAAGCTCTGAGAAAAAGGGAAGAAGGGAAACATCTATGTGCCTTTTACATTGCTTTCCAGGAGAGGTTACTGGAAATTGGACTTGGCACTTCTTCATGACTCTTGGCTTGAAGCCTGTTACTCTTAGCACCTGGGTTATAAGTTTAGGCTGGCTGCAGTCTTGGCCTGATCTCTTGTGCCCTTTAGGGAACAAGTTCGACACTCGAAGTTCAGAGCAGTGTGGTGGGCTGTTCCGCAGGTTTTCTGCAGCCCAGCTCCTGGTAAGGGGCTACTTTGGTCCATCAGCAACACTTTCCAAGCCAGCAGCGTTACAAAATGTTGCCTTATTTCAGACAATCCCCCTTCCACTTTTGAGTTTGCAAAGTTAAAATATCAAAGAGTAATAAACAATGTTAAAACCCCCAAAAATACATGAGTTCCATTAAATGGATCCACAAAGCCAGCCTGAGTTTCAAATAAATACTTTACATTTTTTTTCTTATGAAACAGAATATTATAGTATAATAAAATAAATAAATATATATTATAAATTGCCCCTTTTTATATTTCTCTTGGAGAAAGTCACACGAGGTTTCCTTGGAAGCTTGAGGTGCCATTTTAAGAGTTTATCTCTTACACGTGTAGGTGTGGCAGCTTCTCAGGTGTTCAGTGGCACACCAAGGCTGTGGGATATTGCAGGAGCCCACCTGCTTGCAGCTCTGTACTGCCTGCACTTGCTCTGTACTGCCTGCACTTCTTGGCCTTGGTGCAGGCAGGAAGTACCTGATGAAAGAGAAGTTGTTGTGTTTATTTCTTCAAAATATATGGATATTTTAGGTGTGAGGGTAAAGATCCTGGATATTTGTATTGCCAATGAGTCCTTGCATCTCTTTGTGAGGGGAAACTAAAGTTCTCCCCTTGCAGTCCCATCAGCAGTCTTCAGCTTGGACCTAGAGGTATAACACCTAAGACATGTGTTGTGTTTCCTCCACTGCTTCTTTTTTTCCAAAATGTTCACCAGAATCCAGGGTGCACATGCTAGACATGTACTGCAAGGAGGATGAGGAGACTTCACAAAACTGGACTATGATTTTCTGAAACAATTGCACTTCACCTCAGTTTATCCCCACCTCAAACCTGTATCCTGCACCCCCTGCACCAGGATAGCTTTAGAGTACAATCAGCAGTGCCTCAGCCCATGCCCCAGTGTGGTACCCTGGGCTTCCCTCACAGAGGCATGGTTTTCCTCTAAGACCACATTTTGTTTGAGGCCCCTCCTCAAAGTTGCTGCCTTCGTGAGCTGCGTTGGTTGTGCTGAGGGAGGTTATTTTAGGAGCTGTAGAAGACCCACTGCTTACACAACTATTTTGTGCATAAATATAATAGTAGAGTGATGCTCCCACTTCAGTGTGCCTTGTCATTGGCATAATGAAAGTTTTCTAGCTGCCAGCACTCTTGAGCACCTGTAGGCTGGCTATACACAATCAGGTTTCCCCTTCCCAGCTGTCTGACTGGGGGCTCATTCCTGTGTCCCTCTCCAGCCCAGTTTCAGCCTGGCTTGGGCAGTGTGCAGGCAGCCCTTGTGTGGCTGGGCAAAGCCAGGTCATGGTATTGAACCTCAAGACCTGTGGGAGTGAATTTTGCAGCACCCTGAGGAAAGGCAGACCTACCCAGCAGGGCCAGGTTGGGTTTCTCTCTGCATCACGTAGGTGTCTGAGGCAGTGGAAGAAGAAGCAGGTGAGAATGAGAAGGGAGGTCAGGGGGACCAGGACCCCCAGTGCAATGGCAATGGCCGATGCCATGCTGCTGTCTGGACCTGTGGGGAAAGTAACAGGTACTCAGTTTGTGCATGAAGTAAAAAAAACAACCTGAAACCCATTTCAAGCATCCCTTGGCCATTCCCTGGGGTGAAATGAGATGGTAAGAGCACTGGGAACACATTCCAGCATGATGCACAGAAGTGGCATTGTCAGCCCCTGTGCTTGGTCTGATGTTAGGATCAGGCATGTACAACCCAGCCCCTCTGAGCTACCCAACACTGGCATGTTTTGGTTTGTCACATTACGTGACAGGGAACCCTGCCACAAATAGTCCTTCACAGAGACAGGGAGGTTGGGGTACATCATGGTGGGTAAGAGGACCTGAGGAGCAGTAAGTAAGACATTATGTGCCATTGGCCAGGGCATCTGGATGTTTCATGGCACCTCCTCCATCCCTCCCAAGCCCAACCACAGCTGCTCTTCCAGGTGCCTTTCCCACCTTCCAACCCTCTGAGGAGTTTTCTGATTCTACCCCAGGAGGTGCTTCCCAATTTCTGCCCTACCCCAGAGCAGGAGCAGAGTTACATACTGACCCTGCTCCAGGCTGTCTGTGGGCAGGACCAGGGTCATATTTAGAAAAGGATGTTGGATCATGCAGGTGATGGGGTACTCCCGAAGGATTTTGGAGTGGGTATGGGTAAAATTGCTGATGACAGTCACGGTCTGGTTGCTGAACTTTATGTAGTACTCCTTTGGTTTCTGCTGCAGTATGCTGGGGAGGTGCCAGGTTATTTTTGGAGCTGGTTTCCCTGTTGCTGAGCAGCTCATCCCCACCATTTTCTCAGAATCCTCAGCTTTGTCTGGACTGGATATAAGTTTAGTTTCCACTCTGGGGTCTGAGATGGCTGTAAAGAACAAAGTGACAAAGTCCATTAGTTTCTGCCTATGTTTGAGCAAAGAGCATCTGTATTTACAGTTATCTTGGAGGGAAAGCTTACTATCTAATCTTAGCTCCCCCTTCCCAAAGCCCCAGCAGTGACAGATGAATATGAAGGTGATCAGACAGTAGTCTGGAAGTGAAGAGCTGGACAACAGAAAGGGCAAAAGGGTAGAAGCATCATGTTTCAGTTCTGTTACTAGCAGCAGCCACTCAGCTGAGAAGTGGTGATTATGGCTGAGTTAAAAGCAGAAGGCGGTGAACTGCGAAGTCATATGTCATGTCCTTTTCTCTTTGAAAGAGCTGAACTGCTTAAATGAGTTAGAATTATTTTCCTTTAAAATTACCTGCAGGATTAGTTTTACTGCTGTTTAGCATTTTTCCTGTTGAGGTGTGTAGAGTTGCAAATCAAAGGACTAAATGGATCTATTTATGCAAGACAGTAATAGTGAATTCGTATGTGGTTCCACCATGGGATTTCATGGTTTGTGCTTGTTTAACTTTGTTTCCTCTTGTAAATGGGTTTTGGGTGCATCATAGCATCCCTCGAAACTATCATGAAAGATCGCTTCTTTCAACACTCTCACTCCAGAGATTTGTGGATGCTGTCACATTTAATTTTGGTCTGGAAGAAGGATGAACTACAGGCATCATTCATGCTTAATCACTCACATGAAGCCTACTTGTTGATTCCTATTTATACAAACTGTATTTGCAAGAAATAGATAAAGGGGAGAAGTTCTGGAAGTTGGTTTCAACCTGGATAGAACTCCAGATGAGATCTGAGCACATAAGCCATGTCCCATGTGAGAAATCACCTATTTATCCCTTGGCATAAAATCATGCCATAATTTAGGTCAGAAGAGACTTCAGGAGAATGTCTAGTTCAAGCCTCTGCTCAGTTTGATAAGGTCAGTTTGCACAGGCACAATATCTCTAAAGGTGTGTAATTTGGGAGTGCAATCCATGGGTTTCTGCATGGCATCTCACCAGCCTGCCTTCTTCTTCAGTGCATGTGCTGAGGAAATAGGGTCTACTTCTAGGTCTTGGTTTCTGAGAATATTGCTTTTTTTTAAGCATTTAAGTTCAATGGCAATTCTAGTTTCAATCAAGTCTGAATTACCATGAATGCCTTCTGTTTAAAAAAAGTATCCACTGCTGTAATTAGTAGAACTCCATGTGTATATTACTACTTACATAAGAAAAATAACAGTGTTAAGTGCAATATTTATGGTAAAGTTAATTTTTATCCCAACACTGGAACATACCTCTATCATTTAGCAATTCTGCTTTTAAATGAGCAAACAAAAGATATTTTCATTCTTCTTAGGAAAAACAACGATTTTTCCTTTTGAGAGGTAAACAAAGATTTGCCTGTGAGGTGTAGCAGACACTGCAAAAAGGGGAAAAAGAACATGCCAGATGTGTGATGGCACCTATAACCTCCTGGTACAATTCCTGATGCACCTCAAAAGGTTGTCTGTCTCTTCCAAGCCATAACTCCCAGAGGGTGGAAGCAAGACTTTGTATACCAATTTTGTTGCTTTTTGTTTGTTGTTTGATTTTTTTACAAGCCTGACCTTATTTACTTACTATGGCTGTGTGAGCATAGAAAAAATAAACTTGTATTTCTCACTTTTTGCATCAACCATAGACAAAAACTCAACACCCACAGAGTTGCTGAAACCTCTGACAAAAACAAGGAAAGTGTTTAGGGGGATTTCAGTTGGGACATCTCAAAATCTCCCAGATATGAAAAGACTAGTGTTGCAAACAATTTATGTTTCGTTTAAAAAATTATCTCTGAACTTCTTTCACTCACGAGATGCATAAAATTAACACATCCACCCACAGCATTAACTTCAAATATTAGGTTTCAAAATTCACAAGCAATCACATGGAGAAGTCACAGATGTTGCCACAGAGGATGAGAAAAACTTGTCAGTGTCTTGCCAGAAACACATGCACTCTGCACCTGCTCTTCTTCTGACTAAGCAGTTCTGTCTCTTCTCACAATGGACCCCAATGAATGATCCTGCAGGGCTGAGCTTCTCTCTAGCAAATGTCTGTAATAGGTGCACTGTCAAAACATGTAAGTGCTTGCTTTTGCAGGAAAGTCCTGCTGTGCTGTTTGCTAGTATGTGCTGGCTGTTCATGTTTGATGCATACACTCAACTGCTTCTTTTGCCTTTTCATCAAAATATTTGTTTCCAGTGAAAAAGTCTTCACCTGAGATGTTGTGTGCCAGTACTTGCTTTAGTCTCTCTTGCAGATCAGTATTGCAGATGTTCGCAAATTTGAGCTCTGTCAGCATTCCCAAATATCTGAAAATGGCTTAATCTGTAATGACTTTCTGTAATTAGAGGGAATTAGGCACTGCTAAGCCTTTAAACATAAAAAGCATATAATGACCTGATTCATTATATGTTTTTTATGTTTAAAGGCTTAGCAGTGCTGTTACAGAAAATGATAACAGATTGTAGGAATCACAATATGCCTCGTGATGACAGAAAGCTTTTTCAAACCATATGGGTGTTCACCAGCAGTACTGTGCCTTGGTTTCCCTGTCTCAGAAATTGCGATGGCATTTTTCCAGCTGGGCTCAAGGCTTCCAGACAAATGTTGCTGTCTACAGTGAAGGCAGGCAGTCTCCAGAGTCAGCACAGCAAATGTCCAGGGAATTTTGTGGCTCAGCAAGTCTTGCCCATCCTCAGGTGGCACATCCCCCTCCCTCCAATTTCTGCCTCTCATAGCCCCCTCTCCCTCAATCCTTATTCTGGATTTCATTCTCATTCTCTTTGACAATGAAGTTTGGCAAATATTTCCAAAGTAAAATGAAGGGGGAATGCAGCAGACTGCTCAAAAGAGACCCACTAAGCTTGCTTGAAACTATTCTGTTCTGAAATGGATTTTGCTACAGGGTAGGACATTTCTGCTTCTTCCTGAGTTTGCTCTTTTCAGCCAGGCAGGTCTGATATCCTTCCAGTCATACTTGTTTCTGTTTTTACAGTGTTGTAACCAGTTCTTATGTGGTTTCACTTCCCCTCATTGTGTGGTGATGGTGCCCATCCCATCCCGTCCCAGAACAGCTCTGTTAGCTAAGGCTGCAGTAATCAGACAATTACCAGCTTGTAAATTCCCTGTTAGTCCCCTCTTGAGGGCAAAGACATCGCAACGTTTAATTTTCAACTGGTGAAAATTAAACTTACCCTGCCCTGAACCTCTGAGCCTTGGGAGATTCCTGCTGGCTTCACTTTTCCCTCATGGGGCAACCTCTGTGCTTGTTCAGACAAGTTGTTCCCATCATGAGGATTTGGGGTGTAACGAGCAAGATTATGGCTTTTAAGTAATATCATATAAATTGACTTCAGTGAGATAATCATATATGAATTAAAACCTGCTGTCAAAGTGCCAAATGTTTAGTTTGTTCATGATGACTCTCCAGGGCTGGTTTGATACAGCACATTACAGGAAGGCTATCATGACTTTGGTGAGGCAGCCTCTAGCGGTCGCCTATGAGAGAACTTAAATCTTTCTCAGTTGATGCATTTTCATCTGAGGCAGGAGAAAAACATCCCTTTTCTTTTTTTAGAATTAGCGCTCTGGTGAAGGATGAACCATAGCCTCACAGTTGGTGAGTTTGGGAGGGAATTCCCCCACTTGGATAGAAAAAAAACCAAAACCCAAACCCAAAAGAAATCTCTGTGTTTATGTGATTAAGAAGAATGAGATCCCTCTGCATATCAGGCACAGGGCCTGCAAGGCCTCCCTGGCATTCAGCAGCCTAAGATAAGAAATGCCTAGTCAGGATGACTGGACCTAAGAAGCCCCTCTTCTGCCTTCGGACTCTAGTTATCTCTCTTTAAGACTATAGGTCATGTTCACCTCGATCCTTACCATTGGACAATTTCCACAACTCCTAAACCCTATATAAACACCCTCATCTGCCCAGCTCAGCAGTAGAGCTGTCACTGAGACCCTTTGCAGAAGCTGCCAATAAAGACATCTCTGTGGAACCTCACACAGCACTTCTCCTCTCTTTCCCTGCATGTGCCAAAGGCACTTAGCAAGGAAAAGAGCTGAAAATCATTAGTGAGCTGAGAATCTCTAAAGAGCTGATCTCATTTAAGAGCTGAGCTTGCTAAGATTTCCTGCAGCCCTGGAGCCTGTCTGAGGGGCCCAGACAGGTTGTGCTTAACTGGACTTCTCTGTTTGGGACACCCAAAAATGGCAGCCATTTTTGGGGAGACCCCGAAAACCCCACAGCCACCTCATACCTCTGCAAGGCACTTCCATGTTTTTCCTGTAATATATAATCAGTGCTTACCCTCTGAATGACTCAGAACTGGCTTTCTTTAGGAACTTTCCTCTTCATATATGAAATACCGCATGAATTTCTCCTCATTTCTCTTTTCTGCCCTAATTTTCCCAAAACATGGGAAAAAGAACTTTAGTTCCAGGCTTGGTTTTCCCTTGTATTTTTCACCACCACCTCCTTTCCCCTCTAGGTTAGGAGCTTTCTTTCTCCACACAGAGGACTCCAGAGACATGTGTGTGGACATATGTGTCCATGTCTTTGTCAACAGAAGGTACTAGGGGGGACATATCACCAGTGACAGGGCACAGACACTGATACTCTTCAGATGGGATATGATCTTTGGCCAGTTTCCCCACAGCAGTCTCATCTCTGAGAAAGCTAGGAGTCAACTGGGTGTCCTCAGAGCATGTTTAATGTCTCAGCTCTCTCAGCTGGACAAAACCCAGCAGCTTTCCTCAAAAGATAAGCAGCTTGTTACTCTTAGTTCTTTTGAGTTCATCTATTAGTCTTTATTTCAGGTTGCACTTGCAAGTTGATGATTTCATATGGAGGTGACAAATATTGCCATCTTGACTCATGATTTTTTTCAACTCTCTTCTTTAAGCTAGTTGATGCTGACATGCTCAAGATATTAATGTGTCAAATCCCATGAGCTATACAGTATTTCAGCCTTCCTTTTCTTTTTTTTTTTTTAAATCCTGTTCCTGACCCCAACCCAACTGCTGTTATTTTTACTCTAGCTTCAAAATGAGCTTCCAGCTATTCTGGTCATGCATGTGCCTCTTTGCATTTTGAATACTTTGCAATTTTTTTATAACCAAATGCAGAGCAAGTCAAAATTAGCCTGATTTCCAGGATTAAGAGGTGAGAAGAGCAGTGAAAGGAAGCAGAGGAGCATGGAGTACATGGCTGTGGCCAGGCAGCTGTCAGCACAGCACACGTCTAGGGAAACTTGGAGGAAGTCATGAGTTACATGTCAGTTTTGAATCTTGCTGTTGCTGACTTGAAAGGTAAGAAAATTAAAGAACTGTTGAATGCTGATTTACCATCAGAAGTAAAACCAGAGAGGGAGAGAGAGGCAGGGAGAACCATTTTTTCCGCATCAATGTTGCAATGTTAGGCAAGGTTTTTCACAGGAAAAATTACTTGGTCCTCAGATGAGCACCCGTACACAATTACAGTACCTTACCATAAACCTTGAGACACATCCTGCCAGTGACAGCCCCCGAGGGAAATGTGTTGAAGATGCATTTGTAGCATCCTTCATCTTGGAGGGTGACTCCATGAAGTGAGATGGCTGAGGCTTGTAACTCGCTGTGGGCAAAACTCACATGGCTTACATAGGCCTTGGCTATTTTTTGGCCATTAATTGTACTGTAAGTTGCTATGTTGTCTTCAGTCCCATCCGTCTCTTTCTGCCATGTCACCTGTATCACATCTTCTTTTGTGACTGACCGGCATGAAAAAGTAACGTTTCCTCCCACCTGGACTGACTGGACCTTTCTGTTCATCACCTGCACAGAGGCTGAGGGAGAAGCAGGTGCCATACTCAGCATTTCTCACACTCTTCTGCAGCCCAACCCCACCAAAGGCCCCCACAGCCCCTCACCCTCATTTCCAAGCAGAGCAACTCCGGAGGATTTCTCTATCCCTCCATCTAGGGAAAAGTTGAAAATGAACTTGAAAGAACTACCCAGAGAGTTTCACTGGACCTGCCACCTCTCACACCTAGCATTTTGCCAGCCTGATATCTGTGCTGCAGAGAGCACTGAGAAAGGCAGTTCTGGTGTTGGGAGCCACTGATTTGTCTGCTAGGACTGCTATCCCATGGGCACCCACGAAGAGATTCCCTAAACTTTCAGCCATGCTGACAAACAGCTGTTGGCCCAATACCACCCTCTTAGCCCTCCTGTGGCATGGGGTGTAGCAAATCAGTAAAAATGCTAAAAATGATTATGTGTCTCACTATACATACATCATGTATTCACACTTGTCAGAAACTGGTAAGGATCAGAAAAGTAGAAGAAAAAAGCAAGAAGAGTTCTCAGGAAGAACCTGAGGCAAACTACATCTGTCCTCTTATCTCAGCATTGAAGTCATGCTGCTGAGAAACAGCTGCAGAAGAGCATCAAAAATACTGATGGCCTGCAGGGAGAAAACTTGCACAGCATAAATACCATGGTATTAAAAGTCTCCAGGGAAAAGAAGAAAATCAGTCTCCTCTTCCAATTCGTAGACATGCAAAAATTGTTAAGGGTACAGACAAAGTGAAGCTGACAGCTCAGCTCAACAGTTCTTATGGCATAATAGTTTTCAAAGTTTATTTGTGCATGGCAGCATGGGAAGGGAGGTATCAGCAGTAACAGTTGCAGCACTGAGAACATAATTCAATTTACAAGAAAGGGAAATATCTTTGCAGAGAAGGTGAGGCTGTCTGCAGTGTCCAGAAGTACACTAGGCTGACCTACTCAAGAAGGTGCTCTGAGATTCTGGCTGTGACCATGGCCAGGCAGATTTCCATCAAAGACCAAGAAGCCAGTTGTCAAGCTGTGCCAGTCACTTTGCGTTCTAGATCTCAGCAGTGCCATAGGCAGACTACAAACCATGATCATGGAAGCTAGTTTGAAACTAATTCAGCCTTTTCTACATGATTTTAAAATACAAAACCACTGTAATACATCCATGCTTTTGATGGCCTGAGCAGATACCTAAAAACACAGTCTGCCTGCTTTATAATTTGCCCATTGCAATACCTTTATACATCTCTCTGGAATTTATGGTGCACTGGTGCTAAATTAAGAACTGGATGATGTCAATGCAACAGCAGTGACATGCCTGAGCCCAAGGTAAGTAGTACAGTACAAGTGCCCTGTAATCACTAGGTTTGCCCCAGGAGGGTGCAAAGTGGGGACTGCAGCACCCAGCAGCACAGAAGGAGGCTGGCACAGCCACTGAGGTCCCTAATGCTGTTAGGAAAATTACACAGACACCCACCCAGACAGATAAGGGAGTTACCTGGAACAGCGGTCCAGACACTGGAGAGGAGAAGGCAAGTGACCATCATCATCTTAGCTGTGTGCTCAGAGAGATGAACGAATGATCCACTGAGTGCCACTTCCCCTTTTTTAATGCTTCGCTTTTACTCTAGGGACATTCCCCACTAGGAAACTACAATAAATGCCACCTTGTGAAAACCTCCTGCTTCTATGACACAACTGAATTTTAGGGGACATGACAACAAATGTCAGAGCCAGAAACTCAGGTTTTCCCAGCTGTGCTGATAAGCAGACAGGGGTACTGGGTTTTTCACAAGCACTTTGTCCATAAGGTTTGTTTTTCATAAGCACCTACCTGGCTCAGCACCCAGTGTCTGTGGGCTGCAAGAGGAAAGGCCACCCTGGCCTTGACCTGAGCTCCAGGAAAGGCCATGCTGCAACGAGTAGCACAAATGTAACACAGAGCACATATGTAACTCAGAGTTAGGAGTCTGCACCCATCATGTAATTCAATGATGAGGTGATGAAAGACCCAGGAGGTGCTGATGCTTCTGTAAAACAGCTCTTTCTCTAGGTTAAGGAGACCAAAGCAAGCCAAGAGGTGGACTCAGGGCCTAAGTCATATGTTGTCTCAGGGAAAGAGCAGGGCCTTGGTCTCACCTCTCCTCCATTGAGGTTGCCTCCATTTCCACAGGTCCATGATCCTTCCCCAGCCCTGTCCCTTGGAAAGACAGGGTTGCCTTCCACAAGCACACACTTCCTCCTCCACTATCACCTGAGATGACTATAAAAATAGGTCACACAACTTGTCTGAGTCATTGTTTTTGTGCCTTTTTGCTTTGTCATTGTTATGCCTGTGTTCCCTTTTCTGGTGTGCATTGTGATCACTACTGAAACCAGCCAAGCCCTTTGCCGACGGGTGGCTCTCCTATGGCCCAGTGGGCAGCATACTATGAGACTTCATTTGCTAATCAGACTTCTACTGGTAAATTGTGTTTCACATTTCTGATTTCTGATGAGGCGGCTTACATTTTTTGCAATTTCTTACTACTACAAATGACTATGATTGCAAATAAAATGTTTTCCCTCAGTTGAATGTCCACACAGATTAGCCTCAAATTATGCAAATCAGTTGCAAGCCAGCAGGCCCAAACCATAAAGCGACACAAAAAATTCTCAAACATGCTTTCACATTTATGATTCCTTTTCTCCTTAGAGGCAACTAATCTGAAAACAGAAACAGCTCAAGTATCAGTATTCTTCTAAAGACACATTTTGGATGTGCTTTTGAGTAGGTTCAAGAATTCATTCCCATAAGTCTGAAAAATGCATTTGCTTCATACTATTGTCTTTTTCCTTTGAGATATCTTATTTTCCTTTCCTCGAATTACTTGCATAGTTGCACTTTCCTTCAAAATTTCTGGAAGGGCATTCTGGCCTGATCAAAATGTGAGATCACTAATTAGCAATCACAGAAGGAACTGCACTTGATTTTAAAAATAATTGCAAGCCTAACTGGTATGTAGGAAATATTCTTGTCAGCTTTAACCAACTTATTTTCTCTTAGAAACACTCTGATCTTCCAGAACCAAAACTGTGTGCTGCTAGAGGAAACACTTTTCAATGAAGAGCAAACTTTCAGTCTTAGCAAAGGACAGAGGTAGCTCTCCCAGTGGGAAAAAATTGTTTGCTTTAATTTGTTATGGCATCCCTGGTGAGAAAGAGCTGTGTATGCTGGCTGCTCCTTCCAAGCTCTGCTTCTCCTCTGACAGCTCCTGGTGCCACAGGGAACCTGAGGCTGCAGAGACCTCTCTAACAGTCTTCATGAGTCAGTGTTTGCATGCGCATCCAACTGCTGCAGCATCTCTGTCAAACCACTCTCGTTTCTCCAGGGACCAGACAACATCAGCAGGTGATTAATTGCTTTAAACACAACATTTTACTCATAATGTGAGATCCATTAACCCAACCACTTATTTTAAATTTGTGAATGTATTTTTAAATGCATGAATGGCTGCTCTGTTCATCTTTGCATAGTCTTTTGATGGATTACCAACCTTCTCCTTTCTTGCCAGTAAGATGGCAGTAAGTCTACAGCTCCAGTTGCACAATGTCCTCATTTCTGAGAACTGCATGCCATGCCTGAGCTTCAGTTACATTCCAAAGACAGCAAAAGCTTGGGATAAATTAGGCAGAAGTAGTTCTGCAACTACTGCTTGAAAAGCACAATGATTTGTATTACTTTCTTCCTTTCAGTTTCACCAGAATGTTCTATTTAATTCTGAGTAAATTAAAAAAAGAACATACAGGAATAGCACAGTCACGAAATGCCAGCATTTCCCCACAGACCAAGTGACTAATGTAATTTATAATTCACATAGCTGAACTTCCAGAAAATATTGCCAAGGGAAATCACTCAGGCACAATTATAGTCTAAAACATTGATTTGTCAACTACCAGGCTAAACCACTGTTTTTTCAGCCATCCAAGCCCTGGTTAACAACTGGATGTCTGCCTACCTTATCAGAAGAATCCAGTGCCACCTCTCAAGACGTTGCCTTTAAAGAGTACAAAACAGGTGGAGAGGGTTTCATTGACTTCTGAATTGCAGTGACTTTTGGAGATTGGTTTCTCAGCTCTAGTTATAGGTAGCACTGTTGGGAAGCAGCTTGTTGAATGCAATTGAACAGGTCTGGAACTTTACAACATATTTCAGTAGTGCCTCCATATGGCAAATAACTCTACATCTCAGTTGAGTTTGGAGAGCTGCAGTACACTGAGGTAAGGACAGTAGCTGCATCTACCAATATTTGCTCCAGGCCTCTGGCTTAGCATCAGAGCAGGCTGTGGCAGTTCAAATCCAAGGGATGCTGCAGGACCTGTGGTGCTCATTTGGGCAGGGTTACAGATTAATTGTTGTGTTTGCACACATGTTCCAGTTCAGAGCGCACAAGGGTAGTTTATACACAGACATAGCTGTTTATCCTTGTCATATTTGTATTGGAGGTATGTGATCTCTCCCCAAACTGGACTCCCTTCCTCTGCTAATACCCTGCTCTCAGCTGCAAGTTACAGCTTCTGTTGCTGAAATCTGGTGTTGGACTGCTTAGCGAAGTGCAAAATAGAAACAAAGGAGGGGGCTACTTAGCAGAGACCTGACCCATAGTGGTGTACCTCTATCTGCAAAACCGTTCCATGTTCCTAGGGGACAGCACTTGTTCTTAGAGTGTTTGTTAACTGCCTGACACTTCTTACCTCTGAGGTTTGATGAAATGGCTGCAGACATCTGAAGTCCTAAAGAGATTTTTTTTCCTGGCAATGTACAACAATTACGTGCCAACTAAAACTTTGTTCCTCCCCAGCCAACAAGACCTGCAAATTACATTCTAGTTCTTCTGTTTTTTCTTCCTTGTAGCTTGGGAGAAAGAAAAAGGAATAAATTATAATAATTTTTTTTAAAGGACAAAAAGGAGCACAAAAAGACTGCACTCAGAAGCTTCAGTAGCAAAGGCTATACTTCACTGTGGTTTGAAGTGTTTGGTTTTACCATTCAGTTTGTC